CAGCTGGGATTGGCATCTGCAAGCCACACTTCCTAAGAACCTAACAGCACCTCTGCTAAAAGGAATACCCTGAAAGGTATTCCTGGCCCTTCCCTGAAACAGGACCTGAGCTCTTCTGGCTGTTTACAGAGCTATGTCCTCTCCCCCTGTTCACTGGGAAGCCACTGTACCCAGCGTGCAGAGCAGGCCTTGCTGCACAGGCCCCTCAGGGCAGCTTTCCCTCTGTACCAAAAGCTGCTGAGGGAAGCCTGGCAGGACTAACCCTCAGCCAAACCCTGGGATGTGGTGTTCTGCCAAAAGGCTGCCTTGACTGCTCCCCAGCTCTTCACACACAATCTGCACAACTGCTGCTTCAGACTCGGGCTCAGTGCAGCTGAATAAAGGAACTCATTTTGCTCTGCAAGACCTACAGTGGGAACATGCTGTTGTCAGCCCAGGCAAGGAGTTACAGACACCCACATGGAGCTGAGCCATAAAAGCCAAGCATCTGGACATGCATTTTTTTAATCACTCTATGTAACAGGGAGTAAAGAAAAGTTAGGTAGTGTTTCCCATCACCTACTGAAGAGGGTCAGGATCTTTATTTAAGCTCTTGTGCAGAAGTCTTTCTGCATGTGTGGAGCCCTCCTCAAACCAAACAGGGTCACCACCTCTTAACCCACACTGTGGGCTGCTGCAGCCTCTGTGCAGAGCTGCACTGGCAGGCAGGGCTTCACCCATCCAGTCTACTCATTCCCTTCTAATAGGCCTTGTGACCATGGGCTCCTACAGCTGTACAGCACTGGGGGCCTACTCTTGCTCTCTGAAATTGTGCACTAAACCACCGCTCCAGCGGATTTGACACAGTTCCTCTGGTACTTAAAGCCAAGCAAAAACGGAGGATTTTTTCCTCACTCTGAATTTAGAACAGGATTTCTCCACAAACAGTAGCACTAGCCCAACTGTACTGCTGAACACAAACATTACCACATTGTTGCATACATGAAGTGTGGCTTAGGGAGCGTAACCCCATATATAAATATTCTGGGAGGTCACTATACTTTCCCCACTGTACAAAAGTTCACAAAGCTTATAGAACATAAATTATGGATACAACTTGCCCAACACCAATAATGCTTTGTAAAGCAGGTACTTTAAAACATGTATTTACAACTTATATATTCAAAGCTTTCTTCACTGCAAATACTATATCCTTCACTTGAGGTATGCAGTTATCCTCTAAGATCTTTGCATAAGGCATAGGGACATCGGCACCGGTAACACGCACAGCTGGAGCATCCAAGTAGTTAAAGGCAGGTCCTGGAACAGAAGACAGTGTCAGGTTGCCATGTACTGTGGTTTTCTCTTGATTTCTGTATCTTGTTCTATTTAAACAGTTTTGTTCCTATAGCTCTAATATTCCAGAGAGTGCTGTTCCTGCTCGTTTATCTTCATGCACTGTGGTTTTTGTACCCACCCTGTAAAAATCTCTAGAGCAAGACAGCCAAGCTCCAGCTCCTCAGCTATAACCCCTAACTCTGCCTTTGCCAGGCTTTATCAAACAGTCTTCAGGATTTAGAGTAGGGAACGAGACTGAGACATGTACTGCAAAACTTGGTACCTTCCATGATCCTGGCACAGATTTCTGCTCCTACTCCAAACTGGGGCCAACCTCCTTCTACAGTGACAAGATGGTTTGTCTTTACCACACTGGCTTCCACTGTTTCGATATCCATTGGTCGAATGCTTCTCAGGTTTATAACCTGGGGGGAAAAGGGATAATGAGAGCTTTGCTGTGACTTGAGCCTGTCAGTCACCACCCTTTGGGTACAGCACTTTCATGTGTTCTGACTTTAAAGACAGGTCTTAACAAAATTTCTAACTCAGAAACATGAAAGGCACGTGCTGTTAGAGGGACTTACAAATATAACCAGCTTGTAGTTAATACACCGAAGTGAGCAGAGTCTGTGTGAGAAGACACTGCTTTTTTCCCCCCTTCAGGGAAAAAGAAAGGCAACAGAAACCCCACTCACCTCACACTCTACACCTTCTTTAGCAAGTACAGTAGCTGCTTCCAGACAATGGCCAACAGGTCTTGAGTGTGACACTACTGTAACATGAGTTCCTAGAAAAGAAACAAGTGTTAAAATAGAAAAAAACTCCTTAAGATTTAAAGCTTTTTTTTTCTATAACTCAGGCTCCTTTCAGGGTAACATTTAGATTCACTTGTAAATTTGAGTTCCTTATGTTTGTTTGAAAAGCTGAGCCCAGACATAGCAGGAAAAGAGGAAGACCTATGCTAAGACACAAACTTCACCCTTGAATTCAGGGAACTGAAGAGGTATTTAATATAATTACCAAGTTATCCTTTTCAAACTTTCATGTAATTCAGTGGTAAATCATGAACAAATGGGGTGAAACCCTACAATGACCTCTTTTTGCATTTTTGACAAAAATTATATACTTAGGTGAGGAAAGAAGTGTTTCAGCCATCACCTACTTCATCTCTACACTATGGAACAAATCCTTTAGAAGGGCATTATTTTAGCTGAGATCTGGATTATCAGGTGATGTTTCCCTAAAAGGGTAACAGAACATGAAATCATACTACTGGATAAAAGAACATCTGAACACTTAACATTTAAAATACTTTTCTGTGCCCTGTGACAGCAGTACCCTGAATAGCTGAGGTTAAAAAAAGTCCCCAACCAGGTCAGTTAATAAGGAAACAAACATATTCTCAGCTTACCTTGCCTTTCTACCTTAGCTTTTCCAATTGGAATAAGAAATTCCTTTGACTGTGCCTGTTCAGACATTTCAAAGGGAACACCATATAGTAATTCATTTTCCAGCATCACAACTAGAAGAAAACATAGTTGGATTAACGTGTATGTCTGCAGGCACAGGGCTGCACTCACCATTAGCAGTCCTGCAGCAGCTCAATACACTAAACCCATCCAGGCAACAAAGGAGTGAGGAGCATGTTTGCAGAAGCAATTAAATAAAAAAAGAAGTAAATCAGAGTCTTCACTTCAATGCTGAAGCATTTAAAAAGCTGTCTACAACTGGTCTGAAATGAGATCAGGTATTTACTTTCAGTACACAATGGTATGATCATCACTTTTTGAAAGGTCTCCCACTTTTCATTCACGTTTGTGAAAAATAAAGACAAAGGTGTCCCTGCTTTCAATTAGTGACATTCTGAATTTATCATTTGAATTTCATGATCTGTAAAAATGAGTTATACTGAAGCACTGTATATGCAGGAAGGCCTCCTAACTTACCTTCATCCTTTTTAATCCCTTTATGATAGATTTATAAATGCTTCCAGGTTTCCTGGTTGGAACAAAACACACACTAAAGCTGTCTACCTGGCAACAGCACAAAATCAGTCTGCTGTTAGCAAGGCAGGTGGCTGTTAGGGAAAGAGTAAACCCTTCTGTCTCTGTAAGTACCCTACTGCTGCAGTAAAGAAAACCTGAGTGCTTTACGGTTTAACAATTTTTTTTGTGGCATCTTTTAAATGGGGCAGGAGGGGAAAACAGCCATTCCTCAGGACTGAGTGCCAGGTATTGCCATGATCTGCCCGTGCTCACCTGGATTGTCGTCCCGGATCGATGCTTTCAGCAAACCCTTGGCGTCCTCTGCACTCCAGGGACTGACGACCTTGAGCCCAGGGCAGTGCCCGTACCAGGCTGCGAAGCACTGGGAATGCTGGGCGGCCACTCCGGCCGCTGCTCCATTGGGGCCCCGGAACACGATGGGAACAGCAATGGATCCCGCAGACATGTAACAGGTCTTGGCAGCAGAGTTTATGACCTGGTCAATGGCTTGCATGGAGAAGTTGAACGTCATGAATTCGCACACTGGTCTCAACCCTGCCTGTTAAGTACGTTAAAATGTATTAGCGTGTTTTTATCTAAAAATAGTTTAATTTTTTAAAACCAGAAGAGGAAGAATGCAAATGTACAAACCATAGCAGCTCCGACAGCGATTCCTGCGAAGCCCATCTGAAAGAGAAGGAAACCACGGGGTTAGGAGCAGGGAGCAGCTGATGGAGGGATCACCGTGGTTGGAGATAGGGCAGCCTCACCTCGGATATCGGGGTGTCGATCACTCTCTTGTCCCCGTACTTCTTCCAGAGGCCCCTGGAGATCTGGAGGGCAGGAGACAGGAGTCACGGCCCGCCTGAGGCCCTTTCCCGGCCCGCCAACGGCCTCCACAAACCTTGTAGGCGCCATCGTACTGAGCCACCTCCTCGCCCAGCAGGAAGACGCGCTCGTCCCGCTCCAGCTCCTCATCCAGCGCCTGGTTCAGCGCGTCCCGCACCGTCACCTGCGAGACAGCGGCAGCCGGGCTGGGCGGGGGCTCGGCCGCGCTCCCCGAACGCCGGGAGTCCCCTCAGCCCGGGGCGAAGTCATCGCGCCGCCCGCCCGCCCCGGGGCCGGACCCTGCCCTGAGGGGCGCGAGCCCCTCTCCGGGGACAGCCCTCCCCGCTACCTGTATGGCGGCGGGCGCGGAGACACGGAAGCCCCTGCGCTGCTGCAGCTGCTGTAGGTGCGGGGGCAGCGGTC